AGGTTGTGGTTGTGCGAATTCCTGGCCAAGCGTAGGCAGCGGCCAGGTGGTGGATAATTGGGTGTGACATGGAGGCCCAGGCTGTGTGAGCTGGTATCTGTGCCGCCACTTCCATTGGGCGTTGCTGACACATGGAGGTGCAGACTCAGGCAGCAGCTACCCGTGGCCTTCATGACACTCCCACTTCGTGAGATCTATGTCAGGCGCCGACGGCCCCTCACGCCTGCGGTCTTCTTGACTGTGTCTTGACGCCGGGCACAAGTAGGGGACTGGAACCGATAGTCCGGTTGATGCACTGCTAGGTTACTCTAACTTTATCTAGCGCAGTTCACCGTCCTTGCACCACACTGTTGAGGAGAACGCGTTTGAACCTCGTTGAAATCGATAGTCAAGCTGTCGGTAGGGAGGCACCGGCTGATTGATCTGGGATCCCTTCCGTCTCTTCTAACCCCTTTGCTGTCGTGTTAAAACCCTGGTCAGGCCTTTTATGGGGACCAAGAAGCCTGACCAAGTCTTGCCCCGGCGATCACACTTGCTACTTCTCGACTACTTCCTGGGACTCGCATGTTTGCTTTTACTGTCGCCGTTTTTTGCACGCCTACGTTATTTTTGTAAGTAGACTGACGTTTCAGGTAAGTTGGAGACATGACAATTTTCCGTCAAATCGGGAGACCAACTTCATGTGAATCCTACGCAATATAAACTTTGAAAATATAAATTAACCTCGTTATCTTATGACACCTTGCCTCTAGTCTTAATTAAGGTTCGTTTTGACCGCGAATATGCATGTTTTCGTCGTTGCTCGAGATCAGAGCCGCGGAGACTAAACCCACTTTTCGTTTAGGGATAAAAATGGTTCATTTACCTTAGCTGGATATTCTCTCTTTGAATAGTAGTTTAATTTTGCAGCATTTTGAATGACACACTTTGCATTAAAAGAGGATTGACTTAACTTTAGGATAGACTTAGGCGATTCAGCAAGACCTTCAGTTTTTCTCAGCGTATCTGTAATTAGTGGCACTGCTACGCCTTGTCCGTATGTCATAATTTACGTGTAGGTCGCTGAATCTGAAGGTGTACCGTGCCTGAAGCTGCTTTTGACTGTCGCGTTGGAATTTTGCGGCCCAACGCCTTCCAACGGAGTGTATTTTTCCCGTTGCTGGGCGTACAGGACACTTGGAGCGCGTGATTTTATCTTTTGTCACAATTCAACGATGACAGAATGATTAATTTCGTATGCATGCCAGCCGGAAGTTTAAGAATTCAGCATATACGGCTTGGCACAAAAAAACTATAAATCCGTTTTATTGGCATGCAGACGTCTGACTTTGCATTAAAATTAGAAGGAATGTGCCTACTGAGCCGTCACTTCAGCTGCTTGCCTGGTCCATTTTGTTGCCAGTTGGTATTAATAAAGTGGAATTGCGACGAGCCCCATGGGTATTTATTGCGTTTTTAAAAATTCTACCTTGTAAAAATAATGGCAGCATAACCAAGCAGAAATAAGAGCCGTTTTCCTGATTGTTTTGGGGATCTGGTGAATGTTTTACTCGACGAAAAATAGTCCGCTTCCTTGCACTTTACAGTCTGTTATGCTAACATATCAGTCGTATACACATTAATGAAAAATATCGCTTTTTAGCCAATATACCGCCCGGTAATGCGTCAAGGGTGTGTTTCCTAAAATTAGTAGGTTTTGGCAAAGTCTTCGGGTTTAAGCATATGCTATTTTCCTTATAAATCGCTCTCTGAACTATTCTCAGGTAAGCCACTTTAGGATGGAACGTTTTTGATCTAGCCGTCCCTGGGGGAGCTTGACTGACAAAATGGTTCCACTGGTAAATAACTGTGTCGAGCGCAGGTAACTGTGGCTTATACAGAAGGACCCTTTTTCATAAAGACCTCGTTTTAGCAGCTAGATTGTCATTACGGCTTCATCTACCTCTTACTGTTTAACAACGGTAAATATATGGTTCTGAAACGTAGGTATAATTCGCCAAAACCTATCTGTAAATAGGGTTTTCAAAGGCTCTGCCTATCCCTCATATATATGCTGAATTATAATTCAGGGACCAGATTAAGGCACGGTAAGCGTTTTTGGGGGAGAGGGCAGTGGTGGCACGCCTAGACGCAGGCTCGCGCCGCGCCAGCCACCTGTGCGGTTTTAGTACCAGTAAATATGGAAAATGTTATACTGGCAATTCGTAAACTATGATGTGTTGGCCCTCCACCCAGAATTCTCTCTTACAGATTTTCTTGCTCTGAAGAACAATTAACCTAGAGCACACTGTAGGACCCCGTCGATTAAATATATCCAGTCTGTACTTTAAGTGACATTGTCAAGTGGAACATTGTTTGAACCTATAAGTTGATCAGCGGGTTTCTTTTCAGATGAGTATTATGTTATGGACGTAGGAGCAAAGTCTACTCCTTCATGAATTTCCAACCTTTTGGACAACTGCGGGTATACCCGTAGCTGTTGTAAACGCAGGTATCATTGACACATTTCGAGGGCACTTTCCACCCGTATGAAACTTAACAGACAGGGAAATTATTCACAGTGTTCTTTCTTCTTTTTCATTACAGGACGCCGGTGTACAGAAATGGGGTTCCGCCTGGCGATCACCAGGACCTGTCGGCAGAGACTCGTAATGCAGCGGAGCATGCCAGTCGGCAGCTGGACGAACTTATGCTATCTCTAAAGCAGCTACGAGTACGCACTCTCTTTATCTAATATACTTTAGTGGGTGAGGAACAATCGTGGGGTCCCCACAATGCGCGCGGAGCGCGCGCTCCGCTCCAATACGAACACCTGGTTTTAGGAGGAAGAATGGGTGGGGCATATTGGGGGACAAATCAGGGCGTAATAATCATGTAA